GTAGATAAACCATTTCCCACATTATAGATAAAGAATCTCCGACAATGAGATCTTAAGTCTAAAAGGCTTCGAAGAATCCACGACCACTCATTCCTCTTCTTGATAACCCAGAAATTACGTGACTAATTGAGTTAGAATGGGTCTTAAGGCTTCTTAACGTGTCCATTTGGACCTTAATGGGTATAACACGGGTCTGTTTCTTTTATTCGAGTCCATTTGATCAAAATGACACTAAATAGGTCATAACTAATATGATTAGACCCTAATGGGTTTATAGGCCCATTTCTGCATAAGGAGTCTAATTGACACAAAATGACACTAATTTGGTCATATTTAGTTTGATCAGGCCTTTTTTTTTTTGAACGGAAACCAGGCAATTTTATAAATCATAAAGAAAATTACAGCAAAACGACCAAAATATAATGAGATTATTTCTCCTACTTGAGTCTAATTGAGTTATAATGGTACTAAAGGGGTCAAAATTAGTCTAATTAGAGGTAAATGGGAGTAATTGAGGTACAAAGAGTCCATTTTGTGTTAGTGGATATAATGTGCCCATTTCTCCTTAATAAGTCCATTTGGGTCGAAACGACACTTACTAGGTCATTTTTAGTCTCATTAGTTCCTAAGCGGTTTACTGAAAGTTGGAATTTCCCTAGGCAATTTTATAAAGACGAATAAAAGCGAAACCTTACAATGAGCAAATCAGCAAGAAAAGCTACGGCAACTTTGACTCAGAAACCTAGCCATAAGAAGCCAAAAAAGACAAAGAGAAATGCACCAAAAAGTAAATTTAAAGCAAGCCAAAATATAAATGGAGCAAATCACCAATATCTTCCAGTACCGAAAACCTTCAACATCCACTTGATCACGCGTCATTGATTCTCGTGAGTTTCTTCCTTGTCTTCCACGCCATTCTTTGAAGAATCTGTATCTTGATCTCAGCCACAACTTTTTCACCAGCATGGTTATAATTGTCAAAGAACTTTCTGTTCCTTTCCCTCCATATATGGTATACCGTAGTCGATATACCAAGTTTTTGAACCGTAGACTATAATTTCCACCTTTGTGATAATCCCATATTAAGGATATCCTCCCATTTGTTCGGACAATTCTTTATCCCTACTTCCCTTTTAATTACCTCCCAAATACTACTCGAGTAGTTGCATTCAAAAAATAAGTGATTGTGTGTTTCAATCACTAATTTACAAAAAACACATTTCAGATCAGGGGGTTCATGCTTCCACTGGCTAATGCGATCCTGGGTTGGTAATCTTCTCTGACATGCCATCCATAAGCAAAGAGCATGTTTAGGTGTGTATGCTTTATTCCATACCACCTTGTACCAATGCACAATCGGCCCTACTTCTTGTAAAGTTTGCCATGCCACCTTCACCTCAAAATGTTTCCGATTATGTTTAGTGTCAAGCCATCTGACCGTATCCTCTTGATGACTGGGAGAAGGTATCGTAATATTTTGCAGCTAGTGGTATCGTTGAATCCATTCAACCGGCCAATCATTGCCAAACCGTTGCATTAGATCATATACCGTAGATTTATTATGAAATTCATGACCATTTATGAATCTGTAAGACAGCAGGTGAATAAGGGGACCAAAATCACTCCACGTGTCTTCCCAAGCGTGCGTGGATATACCATTACCCACATTAGAAATGAAAAATCGTCTGCAATGTGGTCTTAACTCTAAAAGGTTCCGGACAAGCCACGACCATTCATTCCTCTTC